TTTTGGCTACATTTCTGTCAATCCATCGGAGGATTGAAATCGCTTTTAGCGTTAAGTTATAGTAATTGTCTATAAATGGGAATTGAAGTAAATCTGAGTATTCGTTCGCTTCTTCTCTCAGCTCTTCATTAATCGTTTGGTTAGTATTCAATGCGATCACAAAATAGACACAAATAGAGAGTCTCTTCGCGTCTCCAACCCATGTCTTCCGCAACACTTGTCGTCTATTAAAGTACTGACCACTCGATTGAGCGCTCGAATGGATGAACACTGATATGGACTCAGATTGAGTGCATTTGGGCTCTAATATCGCGGCTCTCGTTAAGAGTAACTCTTCTCTCGAGTGAACAAAAACTCGATTCTCTTCAGTATTTCTGAATTCACGGATCTCTTCAAAGTAATCTTCATTTGTATACCAATTCAGTATTTGTAACTCAAATAACACGTATATAAATACGGGAAGTGAGATGAGAAACACAATAATAAGACGCTTACGAACTGAACATAACGTGATATGAATTGATTGTTGTGTTTATTCGGTATAAAAGGACATGTAATTTCAAATTATGACTTATCCTGTGTTTAAATTCAAAACAATTTATTCGTAAATATTATTCAAATTAAAAGTAATGTCTGAAAAAAGGGGAACAGAATTTTCTGCCGAAGAGATCCTCTTAAGCGCTCTTCGATTGCATTGGCGAAATGGCCGGCTGTTCCGCAATCGCGACGGCAATGGACGACAGGAACCGTTGACCGCCTTTGAATCCGAATGGATAGAAACCGTTGAGACGCTTATCAATGGTAGGCCTCGACTCGGACTCATTGGTGGAGCCGTTGGACGCGGCGGTGGAGCCGTTGGACGCGGCCTTGGAGTCGGCGGTAGAGGTGGCGGTGCGGTTGGCCGCGGCGCTGGACGTGGAGTCCATATTTAATTTTGTTTTTTTTTGCTTATTTTTGTTTATTTTTATGTAAACTATTGCCAAATTTTATTCAAACAGAAATGAAATAAATATTTTTTAATTCAAAAACTTGTATTTTAATCAATGAATGAATGAAGAGTTTAATATTTGCAAATCAATTATCACCGGATTGTCCCTCAGATGCGGTGATAATGTGACACAAATTGTTCACAAAATGATCGCCAAATGGGAAGACTTTAACATAAACTCAAAACACATCGTTAGAGTGGATGTACTGAAAGACAATGTGCTGATCATAACCGCCGCCACTCCTGAAGCCAATCAAAAATTGTTAAAATCCGCAAAAAATCATTTGAAAACTAATCCAAGTATTAAATGGACTGAAATGGAAGGGTATGTCTGAATATATCAATGTTTTGAATGCATTTCATTTCATCGGATCTATTGTTTGCAGATATGAATTGGTTTCGGGTTTTGGTTGGAGTTTGAAAATGCAGTATAATTTTTGTCAAGAGTTGTGACAAATGTTTGGATCAATGAATCCATGGTTTGGCGAAGTCCTGTATTTTATGGTTAAAATTTCAAATAATTTAACCGTTAATTAAATAAAAAACGTTATAAAAGTTTTGAATTTAAATTTTCAAATTTATAACAATTAAAATTTGTAATTATAATCATTTATAATATGTTTTTATTGTTCACTAATTGTGACAAACAATGAGACGATTGTCTCGTTTTCTCGCAATTCATTCAAACAATTATTGGATTCAAAAATAGATTCACTTTTGCCTTCACTTCAGACAAACTGATCACTTGTTTCGAGAGCAGCGAAATCACGGCCGAAGACATCGTCGCCGTCACCCGTGACTACAAATACAGGTCACGCGACGGCTCGGCTATGCTTTTTGTGACCGCCAAAGATGTCACTAAAAAGCGTCTGATTCTCGAAATGACCAAAAGCTTGGATTCAAAGCTCGCTTTCAAAGACTACATTGGATTCAAACACTAATTCAAAACAAGAAATAAACTAANTGACCGCCAAAGATGTCACTAAAAAGCGTCTGATTCTCGAAATGACCAAAAGCTTGGATTCAAAGCTCGCTTTCAAAGACTACATTGGATTCAAACACTAATTCAAAACAAGAAATAAACTAAAAAATAAAATAATAACAAAATCTCTTGAATTATAAATTGCAGTGAAAAGCAAATATTCAAATATTTATAACTTTATAACACTTTAATTGCATTACTTATTCTTCTTATGGTTTAATTTGTTTAATAAATTGTCACAAACTTTGCTTTTCAGTACAATTTATACACTTATTATATGATTATTTGATGCAATGTATAGATTATTATAGTGTTTGCATGTATTTGAATATTTATGTAATAATAATAAAAACAATAAAACAAAGTTTTTTNAACACTTTAATTGCATTACTTATTCTTCTTATGGTTTAATTTGTTTAATAAATTGTCACAAACTTTGCTTTTCAGTACAATTTATACACTTATTATATGATTATTTGATGCAATGTATAGATTATTACAGTGTTTGCATGTATTTCAAGATTTATGTAATAATAATAAAAACAACAAAACAAAGTTTTTTGTTCATAAAAATTGATTACAAAACAAAATCAATGCAAACATTGGTATAAAAGCGCAGAATATTCTGATTGTATGTGAGATTGCATTGAATGACAAACTTTTAGCCAATAAATGAATGCAAACGTCATTTATAGAGTGCTCCGAGTCTTACGTAACGCTAATGTAATCATTGTTTTTGTTGGCAAACAATAGGCGAGTCTTAGCCCAAGACTAGTCACCCCTCGAGTGGACATCAGTGACAATGAGTGGTCCGCCGAAGAGTCCGTTGGGTATCTTCTGGGACATCGAGAACTGTGCGGTGCCTAAGAATGCCAACGCTTCAGATGTGGCCAAACGGATCCGACAGCACATCCAAGCGGTCCATCCGGAGTGCGGTTACGCCAAAGAGTTCTAGTGTCACTTTTCCGTCATCTTTTCCGCCGCGGTTTACAAATTTTATAATATTGGGGTTTATTTGGGAGTCATTCCAGTCTTTGACCAGTTTTCGGACCAATTCAGTGACATTTTCATCCTTTTTGGTGAACAATCCTTTGATGACAGACTTGCAGTCGTCCTCACAATTGCATTTATTTTCCGCTTTCCCTTCTTTGGAGTCCTTACGGGCTTTGGCTTCAGGTTTGGCCGCATTTTGTTTATTTTGTTTGCGATTCTTCGTGAATGGCTTCCATTTGATGCCTTTTTCGGGCCGCAAATGCTGTTTAGCTGCGGACAACAGCGTCTGGTTTGCCTCAGGGCTTACAGCCGTCACAAGCAATGCTTTGCCGTCCATTTTCTCCACATTTGCGATCAAATTGCCATTAATTTGATTGTCTTTCCACTCGTTAACCAACATTCGCACCAATTTTATCACTTTATCCTCAGAAGTGAATGACAACCCTTTGATGATTGACTTTCGCTCTTCGTTTATATTTGTCTTATTTTGAAGCACTTTCTCATTCTGTGGGCTAATCTTCATCGAAGATACCGTTGAATAGAAACTCATTTCACTTCCCGTGTCATCGGAATCATGAGTAGAGACGGCTTCAGAATTTCGTGAGACATCTCTTGGCGTATATTTAGTCCAAATTATCTTATGTTCGGGTTTTATATGATGTTTTGCGGCCATAACTAGCGCTTGACTGGCCTTTGGATTGATTGCAGTGACAAACAAATTGACTGATTGTTGATTTCCATCCACTCTTTGTCTTGAATTGGTTTCGACACAAACTATTGAATTACCCGTAACTGAGTTGTCGTTCCAGTCGTTCACTATTTTGCGCACCATTTCTGTGATATTTTGGTCACTTCTGGTCACCAATCCTTTGATCACTGATTTGCAGCTATCCTTTGAATCCGTTGTATTTGGTTTAGCATCGGTTGGATGACTGCCTTTCGTCAGTGTCTTAGGCACCGAATCCATTAGTTTGACATCGATTTTACGGCCCAAACAGTCCTCTCCTGCCATCCGTTGCAGAGCTCTCTGGGCGTCGTCTTTACAGCCGAACCGAATGACCGCTTCTCCGGACACAACGCCCTC